AAAAAAAAAAAAAAAACGTAAAAACGAAGAATACAAAGAACTGCCAACCCAAAATCCCCAAAAACAAAAAAAAAAACTTGTTTGTTAATTTATTTTTCAATGCCTCTTCTCCGCCTTTTCTGTTTTTTATTTTTTATAATTCTAAAAACTTATCTGTTTCCAAAAAACAAAATATGGGGTTGTAGGGATTAAAAATCCCTACAACCCCATGTTTTTTTTTTTTTTTTTTTTTACCCATTATTTAATTCAGGAAAAATATGGTAAATTCGCATCCGCGGCGCGGACGAGGTCAGCCGCGGACGTGGCCGTATATACGGCCACCATCCGAGCTCGACCCTGTGGACGCGTCCGCGTGTGTTTCATAGTGCTGAACCGCAGCGTTCGTCTGTTTCCGGGAGTATGTGCTCACGGTGGATATGCAGAGGAGAAGGTGGTATGGATGGTGTGTAAAAGATGATGGTGATGAGGAGGAGGAAGAGGAGAGAAAGGGGAGAAAGGAAGGGGAGGAGTGGAGGCGATCCCACCTACCTCTGACCAAGTGCATGATATGCGGCACCTACGTTGTTTAAGTATCCAGCAAGCTCTGCGTTTCCTTGTACACGCGTCCAGACTGGCCCGTCCCCTGCCTTTTTGAGCTTTTCGGCTATGTACAGGGCGTGAAGGAGCATTCCTAGAGCTGTGATGTAAGCACCTTTGGAGAAGTAGACGATACCGTGAAGGCCCTCGTAAGCTGCCCGTTGAGTGCTCCACGGTGAATCATCTGAAGAAAAGAAGGTTCGGCCGGTTTGCCCAGCCGTCAAGATGGCAAGTTCTGCCAGCACCAGGTCTTTCTCATCAAGTGCGAGCTTGCACGCCCAGAGTGAGAGACAGATCCTCGCCGACGGAGGCAGGCGAGGTTTTGGGTGCTTGGGCGAATCGCTAGGAGCACCGCAGGACTCTCCATTACAGAAACTCTGACATTTGCAGCCGCTAAGCCGAGCGTCCCAGACGTCCATCGTCTCAACCAGGCGGTGAACGGCCTCCCTGTGGGCTCTTTGGACATAACAGAGGCGGACGCAGTCGTTAAGCATCTCTTCGACTTCATCGGGGACCCGAGGAGGAGTCTCTATCCGCGGCTGTATGGGCACTGGAATGAAACCGCCGCTGCCGCTGCCGCTGCCGCCACCGTCTTCTCCATCCAGCCGGTAACCACTAGCCTTTCCACACCCGTCTCCTCCTACCCCACCCTTAGACTGCACACTACCACTTGACATTGCGTCAGACTGGGCTCCTCTCCCCCCCCCTCTTCGTTGTTGGCGACTCGATGGTCCTTCTGCACAATCACCGGATTCACCGGGAACCAACCATGTTTCTTCGTCCATTTCCAGGGTCCTTCCTAATGCGGCAGGAGCTAACCAATCACTTCTCTGAGTCTTGTCCCCAAGTCCTTCCGCGACAGCACCCGGCTTCCCTCCTCCTCCTCCTCCTCCTCCTCCTGCTCCGCCTGCTGGTGCGGTGGTGGCTGCTTGCACTCCTACCCCCCCTCTTGCTCCTTTGCCAGATGTCTTCGCCTGGGCGAGCCAATCAAGCTCACCGAGCTTGGCAATTTTCTCAAGAAACAGTTGCAGTGTCCCTCTGACCACGTTTTTCCGTCTGAGCTCTGCTTCTTCTTCTCCTTGTCGTTCCACCGTCGACGCCCTCACCCAACTGTTGAACCTAGGAAGATTATGTAGTCGAATGGACTGTCGTGTAGAGAGCATCGTGCTCCGCCGGCTGTCATTTGGCTTCAAGTTGCTGGAGCCCCCCCTGGTCGCCCTACCGGTAGCCACGCCTTCTTGCCTGATATCCTCTGCGGCATCTCTTTTTTTCCTCCTGGCAAACTCTCCCCTCCTCCCGCTCCACCCAACATCCGCAGCGCTTTTACCGTCATTGCTTCCTACCGTAGTAATTTGTGGCTCTCCCTTTGCAGTTTGTACAGTAACTTTCTCCGCCGTAGGCGCAAAGTTGTCGGCGGAAGGGCGGCGCTGGCCCCCAGCTTCGGCAGAAAGGCTCCGCCTTTTCACAACCGGAGCATTGGCTGCCCCTCCGCCGTCACGAAAGGAGGAGAGGCGCCTAGAGGGAACCTCTGCTCCGTTTCCAGACACCCCCCCTTCCAGCTCTCTTGAAGCTGGAGGCGCAGATTGGACAACATCAGCTTGAGCCTCCTCTCTCTGCTGCAGCTCTGTGGCAGCGGAGGGCTCCTCCTCTAAGTCTAACTGGCGTTCTGTACCAGGTTCACTACTGAAACTCCGATGGAGCGGCATTCGCCTGAATGAAGACCTGAAGGATTCCAAGGCGGCCTGGAATCCCTCCTCGGTGCTAGTCTGCTCCTCCTTGGAAGCCGATCCGAATGGCCGTGCGGACAGGCTGCGAGTTAGGGTGGGTCTCCTACCCCCGCCCCCCCCAGTGGGGCGCCTATCAGATATGGAGGAGGAGGGTCGTCGACGACCATCTCCTTCGCCAGGTTCGTCGCCGCCATCGCCGCCAAGCTTACTCTCTCTTTTGCCCTGTGACTCGGCATGCTCGCTTGTCCAGTTCCCTGCAGCAGCTCCCTGACCCTCAGTAGTCTGGGGGCTGCTGTCAATTCTGTTCTCTTGAGAGCTGATGCCACCATCGTCAGCCTCGGCGGAGCTTCGGATTGACCCGCGGTGGCCTTGTTGTTGTTGTTGCTGCTGCTGCTGCTGCTGCTCCTGCCACCCCTTCCTCCCCCCATCGCTCTCTCTGTCACCAGCAAAATGGACCAGGCTGCCGCTTGATGCAGGACGACTCCTGGCATTCCCACCGGTCCCGACCGTGGCTTTCTCATCAGACTCGTCTCGCCGTCCTCCGGCAGCGGCTAGGGTTTGATCGTCGACCCAGCTGATCCGTGTGCGACGTTCGGCGTCGCCGACGCCGCCGCTCACGCTTGACGTCGGCAGTCGTCCGTGAGCTGACGACTCCCGCCTTCTTGGGATCCTGGAAGATGCCGACACCCTGGCGGGAAACCAGGCTGACCCCTCAGCAATCTCTGCGGACCCCGCTGGTTTAATTAGAGTCTCTCGGCAGGCAAGTTGGGTCCTTTCCAAGTTGGCTTGAAATTTCTGTCGCCTCTTCGCTTGTTCTCGCAGGATGGAATGTTCCACGATCTTCAGGTACCCCTCCACCGTCACGATATGATGACTGAGCAGCTGGTGTGTGGCAAACAACATGGGCCCATCGTCGTAATCTATGTACCTGTCGACCACTAGCTTGCTCCCTTTCAACGCTTCCAGGAACCCATCCTTCTTCAGGCCGAAGATGCCGAGCTGGGGAACAAACGTTGCGAAACGGCGAAATCTGAGCCCCTCCACTCTCCTCATTACCTCCAATCCGGAGGAGGAGGAGGAGGAGGAGGAGGAGGTATAATTGCCCCCATTCTTCACGTCGCTGCTGCTGCCGCTGCCGCTGCCTGTGAGTGCATCACCCACCCGTCTTTCCGCCGCCATTGCAGTCCGCCGGCTCTCGCCTTAGGGTGGGAATCACCCCCCCTTCCTCTCTCACGCCATAGTGCAGCGAGACGTGACACTCTTTTTTTTTTTTTTTTTTTTTCCTGAAAACCAAATTCAATTACTCAAATCAGCATTCAGAGGCCGGGGTCCTCTACATTACTTCCCGGTTCAGAACAGATATCTGGAAGTGACGGACTCTTTTTTTTTTCTTTTCTTTTTTTTACAAAGTGACAGACTCTTACGACTGCTAGGTAGTGAAGGGGAATTGAAAGAGATGATGAAATATTTTTTTGAAGAGTGAAAAAATACAGTCGCCACGCTGACTGTTCTTTTTTTTTTTTTTTTTTTTTTCCCTCTGTTTTTGAAACTAAGCTAATATTCTTCTTTAGTGTTTCACTCATACATGCAATGCTATCGCCAGCTCCTTATATTCCTCGTGGGAACAGCATGAATCTGGTCTGTTGCACGAATCTGGTCTGACCAACATGTATCTCGTCTGCTTTTCCAGCTATATTCGTTGGTCAAATCGCAACCACAGACAGCGTACCATGCTGTGTCGAGCTCCTTATATACCTCGTAGGAAGGGGATGAATCTGGTCTGCTGTATGGATCTGGCTTGCGAAACGAACCTGGTTGCGGCATGAATCTGGTCTGCTTTTCCAGAGATATTCGCTGTTGTAGAGTCACTGCAAGGTGTAGGTGCGAACCTGGTTGCGGCATGAATCTGGTCTGCTTTTCCAGAGATATTCGCTGTTGTAGAGTCATTGCAAGGTGTAGGTGTAGGTAGGGGTCTCTCCCTACTCTGCGCTTTTTTTTCTTTTTTTTTCCCTAAACTAAGCTATATCGTTCTGACGAATTCACCAGTACTCGCCTATGAGACCGGCATGAACGTGGTCTGCTTTTCCAGATATATTCCTTGGGGAAGTTCCCACAGGTAACGATACAACTTGCGGATTAATTCCGCAGAGACTTTAGGGCGAGGGCCCAGTGCGGCCATGCCCATGTCAAGAGAGCATGATTCTGGTCGCAAAGCTGATCAGATGCGTACTTTCTTCGACCGCACAGCTCGCTTGTGGTCCCTAACCCTGCAGCCAGGACTGGCAGTACGCCCGTGGTAAGATTGCATGCACCTGCTGCCTTTTTCGCTCAGGTTCATGATGCCAGACTCACCACCAGTGATGCCTTTGACGTTATTAGCCTACTTACCCCACCTGCTCTCGGTCGACGACGTCAACAGCCCGGTCCACTCAAGGCACATTCACTTCACGCAAGGTTTTTTTCTATTCTACTGGTTTCTGGACGTGATTGCAGTCAGATACGTGCGTATGGAAAGTACTCCCTTCTTCCCCCGAATACCCAAGGTTTTTTTCTGTTCTACTGGTTTCTGGACGTGATTGCAGTCAGATACGTGCAGTTAGGAAAGTACTCCCTTCTTCCCCCGAATACAGCGTACGGTCATTATAGCTGTAATTGAAGCATCTTTCAGTCCAGATACAGCTCTAATGACCGTTCGTTGTATTTGGGGGAAGAAGGTAGCGTGAGTATGTCCACAGGGTAATGGAGTCAGCAGCATCTTGGTCAGACGCATCATCAGGCCGAGACTCTCTAAGGTGGTCAGCGCACTACCTACTACGGCCTTTTAGCATCATCAGGCCGAGTCGCTCTAAGTTCTCTTTTTTTTTTTTTTTTTTTTTTTTTTT